AGTTTGAAAATGCTGCCCGTATCAGTTAATACTCCACTTACCGACCACTGAACCACAATTAACTAAACCATATCAGATGCACATATCAGTGGAAAAGAAAGTGTCAGCAAAGATGCAAACGAGCAACCTTAGAGTTGTTATGCAGTTAATAAATGCAAGAAAGGAAGTTAAGAAAAGCACGAAACTGCCACCAAGAAAGGGAAATATAGAAGTTTAGAAACCACAAAAGTTCGAATGCATGAACAGTTTGAAAGTCGGGATACCTCCCAGGTCAAACCTGCGCATATGACTTGTTCTCTGCATAAGAAGAAAAGCTGTTTGAATTATCGCGTACTACAGCAGCCAAATATTTTCCGCGCAATTAACATCATCACTCTAGAGTACAGTGTACACAAAAATAAAAATTCGCAAACGTTTGTTTTTCTCTGGTACGATGAGTACTTCATGCCAATCATCGAGATATTCATCTGATTCACCGTAGTATGCCAGTTTATACATTTTGTTATTATTATAAATTAGTAATTATTACTAATTATTTAATGTTCTTATTGTTATTGTTATTTGTTACTATTATTTAGTATTATTATTATTAATTATTACTATTACTATTATTATTACATAAAACTGCTACTTCTAATATGTTTTTGCGCATTCTACACGTTTAGAACAGTTTGCACACACAAACACTAAGCTCAAATGGTTATCCGAACCAGAAGACTATCGGCCACAGGAATTGGCATACGATGAAGACAAAGAACTGATTGAGAAACAAAAAGAAAATCAAAGAGAAGCTTCCAATATAGAACAACAACCAACGTTAGTCAATATAGCCGACTTTTCAAATTGGTCCAGGTCAAAATGGATATGAATCTGTTAAGGTTAGCAAGTTAAAAGTTTGGAAGAAGCTATCATCAAGGACCAAGGAAAAGTATCCGCGAATAAGTTACCTACTTGATCACATTAAAGACAACGAACATATCGGAGCGCAAGAACAGCAATGCATCGAATAGTTACTCATCAAAGTCGAACAACAACACCTGTCCAAGAAACAAATCGAGGCGACAGTTAAAGGGACGAAGGATGAACTGAAAATATAGTTAGATCTTATACCTGGATAACGGAATCTTTAAGAGTGCAGGACGATATCAGAATCTGAATCTACCGCACAAGGCTAAATATCCAGCGTTAATTAGTCGCAATGGCCAAATTGCAAGACTGATTATTGATGAAGCGCACAAAGCACTAAAGCATATGGGTTACAATCAACATTAACTTAGATTCGCCAGCGGTGGCGGATAACGAAGAGAAGAGCAACAGTTAAAAGATATCTAAGGCAATGTATAATTTGTAAAAAATATCAAGGTATGCCCTTTGCGTTATCTAAAATGGCACCAGTGTTTACTTTTAAAAGTAAAAATGCGTCCCATTTAAAATCACTGACCAAAACCATTTTTTGACCACTGTAAGTGAGATCTGACTATGACACAACAATTTTGAAACGGATATGTTTATTTACCTGCCTTATAACGCGAAACGTACATTTAGAACTTGTATTCAGAAATTTATAGCTATGTGGGAACAACCAAAAGTTATATACTCGGATAATGCGACGCAATTGAAGGCAGCTAGTAAAATGTTAACACAACTCTGAAATCAACCTGTACTCGATCAAGACGTTTGTGCCTATTACTCAAACAAAGCCATTATCAGCAAGTTTATAACAGAACATGCGCCTTTGCAAGGAAGATTCTATGAAAGGCTGACTGAAGTAGTAAAATCAGCGCTTAAAAAAACAAAAAACAATGAGAAGAATTTTAAAGCTAGAAGAATCCAGAACGTTACTAAACGAGGTGACAGCAATAATCAATTCAAGGCCCTTAACATATGTACATGACAATCCCTCAGCGACTCTTCTGAGTCCGCTCGATTTTCTATCAAGGGGGCTAGCCACGGGAATACCACCAGTAGGAACACATCAGGAACCAGACTATTTGCCACCTCAAAAGATCAAAGAATTCCTCAATTTTTACAAAAGAAATCTGGCCCTGTAGAAGTCTATCGGAAATGCTTTTGTGAGGAGTATCTGACGAGCCCAAAGGAAAGGCAAAGCACTCAACAATAAGCGGCGATGCAAAGAGCACAAAGAAAACCCAAAATAGGCGACATCGTGCTGATAAAAGAAAAAGATCTCCGAGGAAGAGAATGGAAACTGGGAAAACTGCAATCCCTTCAGGCAAATCAGAACGGTTATGTAAGAGCGGCAAAAGTGGCTCTGGCAAGCAAAAGAACGATGGAGCGGCCGTTGAACTTTTTGTTTCCAGCTGAAGCCAACGTTTTGATCTCGCGATTGTGAAACTAAGTTCTCATTTGAAATTTTGGTTTTTCCTATTTTAAATTTCATATAATTTTGAAAGTTTTATTTAAAGTTTTTAGTTCTCAAGTTTGAGCACTTCATTTACGTTTCTAAAGTAGTATTCGTATCGTTCATTTGAAGTTTTTGTGTGTGTGTTATTATTATTATTATTACTATTTTATTTTTTTGAGTTCAAGGTTTATTTTTAATCTTTGCTTCGTTTCGATATTTTAAAGTTCGTTTATAATTTTAAATTTTTTCTTTCAAATTTTTAAAGGGTTATTTCAATTTACGCTCTTTGTTAATTTGTTTGTTTCAATTTTTACGCGTCTTTTATTTTTTATTCGCTATATTTATTACGTTCGTTTCATTGCGCTTAGGACTTTGAATTTGTCTAGAATGATCAGTTTCAACAGAACTTTTATTAGTTTATAAGACTCTTGGTATTAGTTTTAGTTTCTGTAATGAGTACGAGATCAGTACCCACGGCGTTTTCTTGGTCAACACCAATTAAACTTCTGGAGAAATAATTTACATAGTTTCTCAGGTGACGAAAAGTTACATTACATTGGTACTAGATGTAGACAATGCAAGGAATGACGAGTGTTTGAGGGCAGTCCCTGTAATTATGCAGTTACATGGGAATGAAAATCTCAGTCCGTTTGACAAGTTTAGGATAAGATCCTATCAGAAGGCTACGGTAGGGACAAGAGTTCGCCATACTCCTTTATTTGGAGACTTTACGATAAAATCATCGATCAGTTCATGCTATGAGCCCCAACCCAAGCCGCGGACTACACTGTAGAGACGAGCCGAAAGCTTCATCATAAGATCGATAGTAAATTTTGTAAGGTACAGACCTCCAGTGATCACATTTACGGCGGAACGACTGGAAGGAGCGGAAAGGGTTTATGAAGACAGGTTCAACCTCAATAGGATCTCTAAGATAGGTACAGTAATCGATGCGAAAGTGGTAGCGTGAGAGGCAGGAAAAGCAGATCAAAATGTGCGGTTCGGCTTGGATTTGCGGAAAGCAAAAGTTGCGCTTTCTAGGACAAGGGAAGGCTTTATCATAATTGGAGACCCGGATATTCTGTTTTAGTCGGAACTATGGTATTAATTATGATAATACTTATAATGAGTCTTTCAAGGCATTGAGCAGTATGGAGGAATGGCTACGACATTGCCAGGTTTACAAGAGGGACTGGCTAGCATATTTTGAGAAGAGAGGCACTTAATATCATAAAAGATCTCCTGACATTTCAGACAACTTAGTATTTTTAGTTTTATTTTTTGTTCTTTGTTTCGTTCAAAGTTCATGCTTCCATACATTTATTACTCATTTCATTAATGACAAATTAAACTAATCATAAAGATTTAGGAGCATTCTTAGTAGCGCCAAAACAAGAAAGGAAAACCAAAGGAAGAAAAGAAAGAGGGGGATGACTTCAAGAAAAGAAAGGAGAAAAAGAAGAAATTGCAACCTGTTTGACACGTCTGATATTCACTGTTACTACAAATTTGTTGGTATTTCCACGTTTTATCCTCGTTTTTGCTACGGTACTAATTTATTGTTCTGTTGTTTTCATTATTCATTCTATTAGTATTCTTACTCATCCTAATCTTCCTATTCACCGATAAATAAGTCCTCTGAAGTCCAGCGTAATATATTAATTGTCTCAGCTGAAGCGTCTCGGTCCGCCTCGTCTCCCCAGTGTCGTGACCGCTCGCAGAAAGCACAGTAGGATCGATTTAAAGTCACTCTAGCTCCCTGAGGGGAAGCTCTCGAAGGGGCTGCAGAGTGACCACCTGAGCAGACGGAAGCCAGGTATAAAAGAGGCATTAACTAATGAAAACTCAATAATTTCTTAGTTATTAAATCTTTTATACCTGGCTTCCGTCTGCTCATGTGGTCACTCTGCAGCCTTTTTGAGAGCTTCTCCTCAGGGAGCTAGAGTAACTTTGAATTGACCGGTGCTTTCGCGAGCGGTCGCAACACACTCAAAAAAGGGTAAAATTTTTCGTCTGAATGTGTAAAGTTCTTTTACTGCCATATGGCAACAAACTGTCTGTGAGGTGTTCTGCAAAAGCATCGATAACAACTTACATCAAAAAGAACAAAAAAAAAGGAGTAAAAACTTCAGTGCGTCTTGAAAAATAGTTCTTCAGTAGACAGCTCTGTACGATTTATAATCAAATTCCAGTTTTTGAAAGACGAAAAAATTACCATAAATTGGTCACTTTTTTATTATCAGTTTACTGGGTATCAGTTTGAAACTACGTTTATCTTCTGTAATTATAACCTTCAGGAGGTTAACAGTTGTTCTGAGCTAAGAAATAAGCGCAGTTGAGACACATACATACATTATATATATGGGCAGTTCCGCGTCAAATCGCACACTTTTCTGAATCTGCAGGAGATAAGCTGTCAAAAAAAGTAAAAATGAGAAAAATGCGTTGCGAACTTCGAGACACGGGTTGTTAAAAGTGACTATTTCGAGAGTGAATTGCGTTTTTTTGCGCACTTTGGAACAGTCTAACTTTGCCGCCAGGTAAAATCTTTCGATTTTGAAATCCGGTATCAGTTGCTGCAAGTAGGCAAAAGATGAAAAAAATCTGAGAGGTCGAGGTTCAAACTTGTGCGGTGGAATGGCAACTTTGAGGGGGTGTAACTTGGCGGGGAATTTACATTTTCAGGTTTTTTTTGGCTTTTTCTGTACTGGCCTACACTCTACTAATAAGCAAAATTTTAGAAAATTTTGAAGTATGAAGGAAAATAAGTGTGCGATTTGGTATGAAATGGCCCTTATATATATACTTTTTGAGGTAAATTCTTTCGATTTCAAAATCCTCTATTCAGTGCTACAGATGGGCAAAAAACAAGAAAAATTTGAGAAGTCGACTGAGAAAAGTGTGCGACTTAACATGAAAGTGCCATTTATATAACATATAGTCTACTTGTCCGTTAAATTGGCTTTAGCGCTAGGGGCATAACATGTCAACGTTGAAACTGGGAAGAAAGAGATGCATATTTAGCAAGTAAGCTGGCATGTTAGTTCTCCGTAAAGTTGATGGCATTTTCACCGGAATGATTTGTAAATTTGGTAGGATTTTTGCTGCTCCTTTTTCTTTACTGCTCATTCTAAAATCACAATGCAGTTAACTTGAAACTTTGATGGAAAGAATTTTCCAGTGCAGCGAATACAGACAGCTTAAATATACGAAGCTGTGTCATACAGCGCAAATTTTGAAAAGTATAATTCTTCTAGCAGTCATACAGTTCGTTTTCACGGAACATTTAGCTAAGTGTTGAGGGTTGAAGATTCTTTAATATTTAGCTACTGTTTGTGCGATATTGTGAAGATGGCAATTAGAACGAACAACAAGAAATTCAACTGCTCTAATTTGGATTCTAGCCAACATTTTACGGACGGTCATCCATCGACGTTATCGTTGACCGTTCATTTCCTGTGGGGAAAACTTTTGTATCAAACTCAAAATAGATTCTCTGATATATATATCTTTATAAATCGTATTTATATTTACATTTATATTTAAATTTGAATTCATATTAATATATGATATGTATATACTAATATGTTTATGCTTAATTAGTTACTTATGTCTTACGTTGCTTGACGACACTTTTGGCAAAAATCTGAATCGTTGAGGTGGAGTGCATTTTTGGTCTTCATTTTCAGGCCTTTCGTGCTCTGAACGGTTTTTATAACTATGCTGGGGCCAGACAGAAGCATGGTCCCCGGCAGTCATTCGATGGGGCACCTTTCGTCCAAGTCTCTGGAGAAAGTGTATTAGGGCTAAATCTTACTGCCTTTGTCCTAATGAGTGGGCACTAAACCGTGTGTAAGAACGAGATTTTGCATCATTACTTGAGAGGCTGCTTTCTGTTTTCACATCGATAATTGCATAACTCTTATATGCGAACGGAAAGAGGAATATATGGGTCCAAGAAATACGTGTATTTCTTGGGTCGTGAGCTTCTCGATTATACTTTTTGTGGGGGACATATTGTACTTTGCTTGACTCATTGACTCAAAACTGGTAACAGATTATATAACAGTAAACTGCGTTGAGAGTTGGGAATGGATTTTTTTTTTTCAACTGAAAGAGCAAGACTGAGCTTGTGCGGAACAAGACACAAGGAAAGTTTGGAGTGAAACATGTTTTGGAGTTTAAAGAACAAAAAAGCCACTCCCCACCTATGTTCATTTTGGTTGTAATTATTTTGTTTAATGTTATTGACTTTGTCAGTAAATACCAATTTTTCGTTATATGCTATTCAAAAGTTTTTTCGGAAGCAAAAGGGCACAAAGCTGATTTCGTGATTGTTTCGATATTGCCGAATTCAGGTGTTCAAGCGAATAGCACAGTTGTCTTTTAACGCTCTAGCTCGCATTATAGCTCGTGAATTATCTGGTCGCGCTTATTCATTACCATCGCGTTTGAAGGAGCAGATTATGAGTGACCAAACAGTGTGAGAAATCAAATATAGCATATTTCAATGGATGAAGAAATGATGGCTGTGAAAGCTGAAGGAGAGATCCATAAGGAGCCCTTCGTTCTTGATGAAAGGATGAAAAGAATGATTATGGACTTGCAGCGACACTGGCTCACAGAATATCAGCAAAGCAGGGAGAAAATCCTTGTTGAAATGACAGAAAGGGTATGTTTTTTTTTTAAGCGTGGGGTTTCACGGTTAGCTTTTTGGTTGATAAAACTATCCATGGTTTGTTCAGTAGGTGTATCCAGTTGGTTATTGAGGAAAGCTGGCTTTAAAAAGGGGTTCCCTAGTACTGCTTGCAGGTCAAGAAATTTACATTTTCTGTGAAGTGGCTAGGTAGTTACTAGTCATTCTTCACATACTGCGTCTGAAAATCAAAAAAGTTTCATTCTGCACGTTCCCCCCATTGGCAATTCTTTCAAGTATAGTTGAGATAATAGTTCTTTTGATTACTGGTAGTGGGTTATTTTAAACAGTATGAACTGGAAGATAATCGAATTGCAAAGCGTTTTTGATGTAGTTTTCTAGTTATTATATTTCTCATCACTGGGAAGTTATACGCTTTGTAATTATTTTCTTGTTTTTTGTTTTTGATGATGTAGTTGTTGTAGAAATTTTGTTATAGCTGCATCAGGAATTCTTGTCTGACCAGCAAAAGATCCGCACTGAGCTGTTAACTCAATTCAAGGAAGAACTTGATACTACAAGGTTAGTTAGCGTAATTTTTTAATGTATGAAAGGGAATCTGGTTTCTCTGCTTCAAATTGTATCATAACTGGATATAGTATAGAACGTATATTTGTCTGCCCGGATACTAGGCTAACCTTTAGTTTCACTGTTCTTTGTATTTTTTTTAAATCAATAAATTTGAATTGGAAACTTTTGTTTTGAGCAGAAAGTTTTGTACTTGGTTTACGTACGGTTAGAAAGAAGGAAGGCTTTGGTTTGTTTACCAGGCTGCAGTAGTAAACTGATTTAGTTGCGGATTATTTATATATATCATAAGGCACTTTTCAGAGCCGAGCTAGAACAGAAATACCGTGAATCTCTGAAAACTGAGTTGGCAAAAATGCAAGAAAAGCACAGAAAGGATATATCAGCTTTAAAGAAAAAGCAGTGGTAAGGTTCTTTCTATATAATAAAGGCAGCAGCACTGGAAGCATTTATTCGCTCCCTAATAGATTTCACTCTTAACACTGTATTTGGTTTTTCTGCCTATGTGATTTTTTTGTGATATGGTTGTAACCGCTGGGGAAAAGCGACATCTGTTGCCAGCCTAGGTTAAGTTTAGTTTTTTGGTGACAAACAAGCTGTTTAGGTGTTGGCAGTGTGAACAAGAGGCAATTTATCACTGTTGTTGGAATACTGCTTATTGTAGCGTGGAATGCCAGCAGAGTCACTGGGCAACTCATCGTAAGTTCTGTAGGCGCAAGAAGCAAAATCAGAATGCTCCTGGAGCCCCTCAATCACAGCAATAATTTCTTTTATTATTTGTAATATTTGTAAGTGCATGTCTGTGTCTTTAATAAATTGCAGTTGTGACCAGAATTTTTTTTTTTATTGATAAGCGTTAATAGAATACTTCCTTTCTTATGTGTCCCGGTCTTTCCTTGTGTGTGTGGAAGTTTGCTTAGATCTTTGGTTCCAACACGCTTTTGTTTTTTTTCTTTCTTGTTTCAATACTCGATGTGTAGCTCGTCATTCCTAGTTTTCTATTATATTTTTTAATTCCTAAAATATTCAGAATATCTTGATGAAAAGGAAAACACTTAGGAGTTGAGAATTTCTGATTTACTAGAAATCAAAGTTGCTTCGGCAGGTTACTGGCAGTCTTTTATGAAGTCATTTGCTTTCAAAGTTTAAAAATATTTTGCATTGAAATTTGTTACCTCATCTTCAGGGTGTAGTATACTTTAAATTTATGTATCTAAAGTCTCATCACTTGGTACCTTGCTTTATAATTGTTTACTTTGAAAATCCTTTTGTTAGCAACTGAAATAGTCGGGAACTGGACGTTCCTACCTTTGTTTCCTAATTCATTCTAATTGTTTCATACTTCTGATTTTGCGGATAGGTTCCTTCATCTTACTTTTTGTGAGTGGGGGTAAGCTGACTGTATAAACTTTCAGTTTTTGCAGGTTTGATGACAACTGGAAAATGGCGACTTTATAAAAAGCAAAATTGGTCTTCATGCTAAGGTGTATATAGTATTCTTTTCCGTTGTATTGAATAAATGAGTTAAGTTCTTTAGTGGTGATTTTTTGTGGAGTTAGAGAACGAAAGACAACTCTACAGGGATGGAAGTTGTGCTTCAAAGCCTACAGACGTAGCTTTAAGTTAAATTGGAGAGACATTACTGACTCTGGACCACAACAACAGTAGGAGTGGTTTGTTGGGATAGAGTTGAATTTCAACTTCCTAATTGCTGCAAGAACGGTCGCAAATTCTTCGCCATGACGGCCACAGACAGTTTTGTCTGTAACCGTAGAATTGGAAGTAAAGCATAGTGGCAATCAAAATGGGACGTCTCGAACGGAAGGATGATCTGCTAAAGAACGATCTTACTAGGTATTAGAGCAACCAACAAAGCAAGGAGTCAGGAACGACACATGCCTTTAAAGCGCGCTTATACTGTTTAAGGGAACCAAATGCTGCAAAAGCTTCCAATGCAACCGGTAAGGCGATTGGAGTAAAATCCATTACGGCGACAGCCTCACCAACTGACAAATGTTTTTCAAGCACTTGTCATCAATCTGTCAGCCAAGTATCAGAAAGTATGTGCTCTTAATGGCACTGGCTTCCCCCTCCACACCATTTTAAAGTCTCTCTGCCGAGAAAATGTGCTACACTGCGACGATAAATATGGCTTACAACAACGATAAAAAAAGATTTGGAATTAAACAATAACAAAGAAAAAAAAAAAGATCTGTTAGCAGAAGTACAATCTAGAATTTCTTTAATTCAATGAACTGAATCAAATTTATACGACAGTACTAAAAACAATTCTTTTAACAAAACAATAATTCGCCTTCAATAAAGTTGAAAACCCAGTGGAACTACGTCGGGCAGTAACATTTTTCAAAAGTTATTGACATTGAAAATCTAAAAATTGACCGTTAAATATTGCAAAAATGTAGGAACATCAGTAAAAAATATACAACTTCCAAACAATAAGCCAAACAACAATTACTGGCCACATAGCAACGATGACCTACTCTTACGATCCAAAAATCCTCTGGAAATTCATTCCCTGTAAATAACTTAAACAGACAACCAACGCCGAACCGCGTGTTATACAGTCCCGGTTATTATTAAACATTAACATTCCTCCAAGCGCCAAAAAATCGTAAACGTCCAGCCAAAAGGACGGTCCCCAAAACTCAACATGACAGATTACGAACTCACATTAACTTCTAGTAAACAATGATAACCCCAAATAAAGCCAGGCAATTCAGCGCGTACAATCGACAGCGAAACATGAGTCTAGAAACACTAAATGATTAAAGACTGTGTTAATTATATAGTCAACCTGAAGAAACATTTAAGCAAAAAAATTTTTGCTCTTATCAAACCTCAACGCAGGTCATCCTGGATTCTATTCCTGACTCAGTGGCCATAAAACATGAACGTAACTGAATTAAACAAAATAACAATTACCAACGCAAAACGGCACGAACGCAGCGGTTGCTAAATAAAAAACCCGCGGAAAAATCAGAACACTTAAAAATAAGTAATGAAAAATAACTGATTATATAGAACCATAGGCTCAAAAATTAATGAGAAACTTATATATACAAAGATCAGCACAATCACTGCTGGGACTGAGAAGCGCCTGGAGCGTTCTGATTCTGTTTCTTACGTCGACAATATTTGCGATGTGCGGGCCAATGGTTCTGCTGACATTGCACGCTACAGTATGCAGTATTCCAACAACAGTGATAGATAGCTTCCTGTTCGCACTGCCAACACCTAAAAGGAAATTTAAACGTTTGATAAAACATACTGCTCAACGTTTACCAGCACTACCTTAAATTTTAAATTATGTAGCTTTGCCAATATCTAGCTTTTACTTGTAACCCTACCATTGCTTTTTTTTCAACGCTGAAACCTCCTTCTGATGCTTCTCTTCCATTTTTGAAAGTTCTGCATCTAACGATTCACGGTATTTTTGCTCCAGTTCTGCCCTGCAAAATGTTGTGCACAAGGTCACAATAAAAAACCTTTCAGTAAGATCAAATAGCACAAAAAAAAAACGATTCTCTAGCAAGGAAAAAATCCGTGAGTCAGCCCAACTGTATCGTCAAAACACCCATGACCATGAAGGTCAACCAAAACATTTAACCTATTAATTTATAGACAAAAACCCCCGTCTTGAGAGGGGAAAAGCATATAGCCAATGAGACTAGAAGAAATGCAAACAAAAAAGTTAGTCTTTGAAAATTGAAAAAAATTATATTAGGAAAAATTATTCTGAATTAAACAAGACGCGGGACTGAAACAAGCATTTTAACCTCGTTGTATCCAGCTCTTCCTTGAATTGCGTTAACAATTCTGTCCGATTTTTCTGCTGGTCAGATAAGAACTCCTGGTGCAACTAAAAAGAAAACTTTATTCTGACGAGCCTAACAGCTAATAAAGAACAGAATAATTTCAAAACCAATTCATAGGTGCTTATCTAAATTGCGACCGGCAGTGTCTGTATTGGAATCTGGAGGGAAGTTTCATCCCACATCTGCCTCCATAAAGAGGCAAATCTATATCCCTTCAGTTTACAAAAAAACTTGTGATCCCTTCGTTAAACTAACGGCACTTTATTTTACGACTAGATTCATTCTACTTGGACTGAAATTTTGAAAGTAGCGTCCTCCTACCTTTTCCGTTATTTCAACAAGCAACTTCTCTCTGCTCTGTTGGTATTCTGATAACCAGTGACGCTGGAGATCCATAATCATCCGCTTCATCTTTTCATCAAGAGCGAATGGTTTCTTCTGGCTACTCTTGTCATCCATTATGAATATTGACGCTGAAATAACTAAAAATAAGCAAAAAATTTCAAGCATACAATTCAAAAATAAAAATTTTTACAAAAAGCCGAATTATTGCCTTGGTTTCATCATCTGCTCAACAGTTGCAAATTGAGCAATCTGCATTCCAAATAAACAGCAAAACTGTAAGACATTAAATAAAAATTGCAAAGCAAAGTCAAAAATCTAGTGATTATAAGATCATTTTTTCAGGTTCTTTCGCGGTCAGAAACCACACAACAAATTAATGTTCAACTCTCCGCACAAAAACGTACTGAAGGAGAAGCAAGAATGCATCACAGTTAACTACAATAAACTGTTTTCATTTTGCTGAAAAAGATATCTGACTTTTCAATAAGAGCCTTCTGATACCCAGCTACCTTTGAATAATCCCCCTCTTGTGGACTTTAGATGCGCGTGAGTCACACTCACCTATTACGTTGTTTACGTAAAACATAAAAAAATTGGAGGATACGTCCAGTCACCATTTCTAGCCCTCTGCTTAAACTCTGCCAAAAAGAAAAGTTAACTGTTAACATCAGTCACCAACAGCATGATAGACAGATTCTTCACTAATTATCTAAGTTTCAGTTTCTTATTTGACCTAAAGAGGTGGAGGTCAAGACTCTCTAAAATCCCTTTGCTACAAGTAGGTGCTTACATGCGCATCTATATGCTGCCAGAATCCCGACAAGGCACCTGTTACTGTTATATGAGTAGCAGTACAG